ATCTGAGAGGTTCCCCTTTTCCTTTGTAAAAAGTGCCCCTTTTCCATTTTAGTAACTACCCCCTTTTAACTCGGATAAACACACCTTAGATTTTCACATGTGCCCCCTCTCCTTTTTAATAAGTGCTCTTTTCATTATGATAAGTGCCCCCATTTAAAAAAGAGCCACTTTCCCTTCTCATAAACGCCCCTTTTCATCTTATATAAATTCCCCTTTTATTTTGACACGTCCCCCTCATCCTTCCTAATAAATGCTCTTTTTCCTTCTTGTAAGTGCCCATTCCCCTTCTCATAATTACCCCTTTTCATCCTTGATTAGTGCGGTTTTTTTAACATGTGCCTCTTTTTCTTTTTAATAAGCGCACTTCCCCCTTTTCATAAAAGCCCCCTTTCACCTCCGATAAATGCCCCTATTAAAATCTGATCGGTGCCCCTTTTCTTTCAAAAAATGCACATTTCCCTTTTCATAGTGCCCCTTTTTTCATTCTCATAAGTGCCCCAAACCGGTAAAAAATAGGATACTAACGTAAATTTAACCTTAACCCCCCCCCCCCCTGACTTGCCAGTGACATAAGTGCGGCATCAAAATGTTTGTGCTTCTCTGACCGTAATTAAATGCCTAAAACCCCTGAGCTTCCGGGGGCTCCACCCCCTGAACCCCCCCCCCCCCCCCCACACCAATTTACGCTCGCTACCCTCTACCTGATCGTAAATACTTTAGCCCCCCACTTTGATAAACGTTCCGCGGGGCCTGTGTATATAATATAATTTATACGCATACAACACTGATCTTTATGATGTAGTGCGGTATGGTATGTAATCCCGTATGATTTTTTTTGCCAAAGTTGATTTTTTGTTTGCTGTTTTAGCTTTAAAAGTGTCCCAATTGGCCAAAAATGATGGGGTTCAAATTTTCAGACCCCTCCTTCATATCCTGGGGTCCATATTGGGCGCCAAAATGGCTTATATAGAGCACAATAGAGATATTTGGTGTATCCGGGAAAATTTGAACCCCATCAATTTCTGATAGCTTGGACCCCAATAAATCCCAAAATGCAAAAATGCAACAACAAAAAAAAATTGCACAAAAGTCCTATGTGACATACCGTACCATACTATGACATATCTTCTTCTCCCCTTGCAAACGAGAAAGAAAACAAGGTCATTAAAAGGGATTAAGCGACAAAAAATTATTGTGATTCAAATTGATGCGAATATTTGTTTGAATAAGCACTGCTATTTACCAGAATCTTCTTTGTAAAAACAACTTTACAAATCTCAGCCATGCTTACTGAGTTGAGACGTTCCATTCAATTTAGAATACACTTCTCCTAATGTGAAAGTGATCATTCAACACAGTGGCAGAATTGCATGGCTGAGATTTCTAAAAGTCGTTTTTATACAAAGAAGATTCTGGTGAAAAGCATTGCTTATTCAAAAAAAATCCTTGCATCAATTTGAATCACAATGATCATTTTGTCGCATGATCCTTTTATTAAATAACCTTGTTTTCTTTTTTGTTTGCAGGGGGAGAAGAAGCTATGTCACTTTAAGAAATCACAAAGATCAGTTGTATTATGCGTATATACATTTGGTAACAGAACAAAATGTTGATTATCAGAATGTCATTTTGGAATACCTCTATACAAATACCCGATCTTACTGTGCCGATACGTAGGCCTACATTACACAAACCCTGAACCATTGCATAATGATGATGGTTCTCCCTCTCTCTCTCTCTCTCTCTCTCTCTCTCTCTCTATTTATTGTAATCATGCATTATCATCTACATATAAAGCAGCAACACAAAACTTAGGGTTATCTGGGATAGGTGAAAGTAAAAGGATTTTAAAAAAAATTTAAAAAATGAGCGGTCCTGCTCTCCAGCATCCCCCCGCTTTAAAATTTTGGGAAATTTTGAAAATTGGGTGGATAGTGATTCTTTACAATTTTGATATATTTGGATGCCCCTGTGGATGTATTATAAGCACTAGAAAATTTAGCCCCTTAAACACTTCTGCTTTCGAGAAAAATTGAATATAAAAATTTACCGGTGCTCCCGGTAAATTTTGATAAATTTCAAATAGCGCCTACGGACGTACAATGATAGCTGCGACCATGAAAACTTCAGAATATGTAGTTGTGATATATAATTTCCTACAAAAATAGCTAATCTGTCGATTTTAGACAAGAAACATTGTTTGATAGCTTAATTCATATCTTGACCTTGAGAGGGAGCTTTACAACATAAAGAGTTTATTATTTAAAATTTCATAACTTTAGACTCGATTTCAACCGCGACAACGATCATTAAATATTGTAGGATCGCATATGCTTCCAATATGTTCATTTGAACCAAATTCATGACCCCATACCAAAACTTTGTATTACCTTTAATATTCACCGGCCGCCTGAGTCGGCGCAATAATGTTAACCCCCCCCCCCCCCCCCCCCATCCGTAGATCTGCCCATGTTACCTTATCATTCAACGACATCTTGGTCTTCCTCTTCTTCCCGAGAGGGACTTTTAGATTTGCGTGGACGTGGACGTGTTGCGTCCTTTTAAGGCACTGGCAGTCACAATCACATTGCATATACATATGGAATTTTTTTTTTTTTTCTTCTTCACCTTGATAATAACGGCAAGTGCCGTAGGGTTCATGAATTTAGCACAAGTCCCTTTTCATAACTTTTGAAGGTTAAAATGATGATTGGAAAATGGTATAATACATATTTTTACATTGACTTTAATAACAGTCACGCAAGGCTTTTCCTGCAGTACTTTATGAACAATATATTTTTGTTTTGTTTTGTTTTGTTTTTATGCTGGTATTATATCTCTTGTTGCGCAAGAGAAATTGGCTGATCAGCCTAAGTTTTGCAAATACCAGTTGTGCAAAATTCTTCCCTGTCCTAAACTAGACTTTATTGAGCTCTTTCAGCATAATTATTATGGCTTCATTTTATGTGCTTTCTTATTTCTCCTCATTTATTTTCTATTTTTATTCATTCAGTGTTTTCCCCAGTCTCTCCTTTCTCCACCCCTCCCTCTCTCTCTCTCTCTCTCTCTCTCTCTCTCTCTCTCTCTCTCTCTCTCTCTTCCTCCTATTTTATTCTCGTTCTCTATTATATCTATATATCGATCTTTCTCTTTATTACCATCATTTGGTAGCATTACATAATTAGCATATACAGAAAGTAAATGTATTTGACCTTCCAGTATTCTTGTGATGATGTACTTGTTTTGTAACCAAACGCGTCAACATTCTTTAGGAATAAAAAGTAATTAGAGTTAGTGTGTTGAAAGGTGTTCTTGTTTTTTAAATTAATAAATACGAAAGACCAAAAGAGAAAAAGACTTTGTTTTCTGTTATGTCGGGACTTGAGAAGGGGTTTATCAGATGTGAGATGTCTTTAAAGTAAAAGATTTGTTAATCATTGTCCCCCCCCCCCTGGTTTTTTTTTGTTGGGGTGGGGGACGGAAAACTAATTCATTTGTTTTGTTCAATTGTAATTAGAGTCGCTCAAGTTACTTTCAATTTCAAATTTGTTTTCAATTGTTCTTTATATTATTGTTACAGAACGGTTTTTAAAATAAAAATGTTACGAGAAAGAGGAGTTGGAGGGAGAGAAAAGGAACAAGAGGAGGAAGAAGAAGATGGTGATGCAAGAGCCAATTAATGTCTGTAATACTTCACAGAAAAGTAAACAATTATCATTTTATGTCTTTTTGACAGTAAGACAGTACCGATCTTACAACTAGAATATTCGAACGTAAGTATAAGATGACCAAAAGACATTATGAAATAAGGGATTGTACAGAAATATAAGGTATTCTATCAACAGAACAAGATACAAATAATATTGAAATGTCAATATTCAAATTGTTCACATACGATTTTTTTAATTATAAATGTACACTCACCAAAAACTATAACGAAAAAGTGGACATTATTTTTAATCAAGATTTTCAAACAAATATTTAACATAAATTTATCTTTTATATATCAAAATAAACAAATGTATCTTCTTTAAGATGATGTGCATACCGCCATTCAGGCATGAGTGATCATAGCCATTTTACTTTAAACGAGTCTGAAAGAAAATTGCAACAATGGGCATCCGGAGCATTTGATGTTGATGAGCTGTCCTGTATAGTGTCAAATTAAAAGAATTATTAAAAAAATAAAATAATGATCGACACGCAAGGAGAGTCACTTTGATCATTATGCTTGTCAAAACTATGCAGTCCTGTACAGTTAACATCCAAAGCTCAATCCTCCCCATTCTTTGTTTTAATTTTGAACAAGAATATAAGGTGCACATGACATTTGAATGGCTAACTGCTCTAATTTTGCAGTTTTCTTAATCGGACCTTCTAACAGTTGACTGAAACTGCAAATCCAAGTGTGGTATTTCAAAACTTGATTTTTGATTGATTAACAATAGGTCCTTTTATATAGCACTAAATATATATGAATATAGGTCTACTCTATTGCGCTTGATTCAAGGTATCGTATTTAGTTACCTCAGCTGTAGCTGAGCTGTCAAATGAATAAGGCGCTATTGTTCAAGGAATTCCTTCTTAGCCACCGGGAAGTTGATGTTGATAGATGTATTTTCATATATTTTATTGACGGTTTATATAAAAATCTCGGACAATAAATGGTGTCCACTTTCTCTTTTGCTGAGTATATATGAAACAGCTTCAAAATAAGTTCAAGATGGACTTCACATTATAAAAAAAAAACACAAACGAGAGCGGGATATGGTGGGGGAAATAGAGGTGAAAGGCGGCGGGGAGGGATATGAAGGGAAAGATAATAGAGGAGGGAGTGCAAAGAGGAAGAGACTTATTTTAACCCCCCCCCCCCCCCTCGAAAAAAATCCTGCGTACGCCCCTGCAGGGAGATGTCAGTCTCCCTGCTGTAACGATAACATTCATTATAGCATTATATAAGGATTAATGCGAGTGCAAAGATCACAACGCCGAACATTGTACTGGTATGTAAACTCCCTTCTGCGCACTAAATCCTTTTCCTTGGCAACAGAATCTCATATCTTAGCCGCACTACCAAATTAGTAGACCTCTCTGATATCACAGCGCGTGCTGCTGGCTGTGTCGTCTGTCTACAGCAGACGAGGAGTGCATGACTTGTGAATGAATCATTATTTTGTGCCCTGTAGAATTTGCTATGTATGCAGTGCATCGTTCGATAACGGCGCACACGAACTCGAGTATGAACTTTAGGTTCGGCGTACATAGAATTCTTTGTTCATCATACTTGCTCTCTCCTTGGCATAAGCAATTACAAATAGAAGGGCCTACTCCACCGAGTGTAATTATATTTCTTCGACAGCATTGTGTAACCTACATTCGCCTGATCTGATTTTATATATAGCTCTATTGTGTGCAATCATTTATCAAGGAGTTGGTTAATTAAGGACAAATCTGTGCGGGGTTTTTCTTACACGAAGCCAAATAACATCTCGTTGCTGCTGTGTAGTATACAAATTATTTATATTTCAACCGATCAAGGAGTTGGTTAATTAAGGACAAATCTGTGCGGGTTTTTTCTTACACGAAGCCAAATAACATCTCGTTGCTGCTGTGTAGTATAAAAATTATTTATATTTCAACCGGAACGAATCTGCATAGCAAAGATGTGATTTTCCATCCTCCATGGTTGCTGAGCATAATGCATCGTTGTCTTCGTTGAAATTTTCCTCCAGCGAAACGAACCATAGCGAGCGCGAGCTACACCAGCTACATCCATTATTGACCATTTTGCTGTGTGTATCTTCATAGCTTGCCTTGCATAAAACTGGGAACCATGATAGAGTGAATTTGATGTGTCATCTCGTACGTTGTCGAACTTGACGTCGATCTGGGCGAACATCTACAAATTGTAAACGGGTACCGCGATTGTGCATCCATCTCTAATATCATTATATACACCTACAAATTGGTGTATTGACAACGACATAGAAACCTTGCGTAATCTGTTTATTTTGTCGAGTAACAGAGTTAAGGAGAGTCAGGCTGACGTTCCATGATGAAGTTGGATATTCACGAAGCAGGTCAGTAAACTGGTGTTTTATTTCATTTTTCTTTTAATTCGATCGCAAACACTTTCAAGAAATAAATCAATATAAGGGCAATATATAATCAATCAATACCCTATTGCATATCCTGTAAAGAAATCATCGTCGGATTACGTAATATATCATTGGAAATCGATAGGTGACACACAGGGTCACCTTTAAATAAACACGTTTATTTAACACATTCAAATTCTATGCGTACGTTTTAAACGAAGCTTGTTCTTGACAACCTGAAAGTTTGCCCGAGGCTTGCCTGACACAGCAACTAATTTATTCAGAATGAATTCCAAGAATGACAGTTCATTCATTAATAACAAGTATAACTCGTCGCATTGCATGGAATAAGAAACAACCATAAACTTGAATATAACATTTAACCGGTCTATTGTCTGCATCAGGTGGATTTTTTTTTTTACAGCTGTTTGTTATCTTGTGTTTCTTTGTTTGTTTGTTTTTTATTAATTTTTGTATGAACATTCGAAATTTCTTTGCAGAACTTTAATACAGTCTGTTATTCTGTTTTATTATGATTTATAATAAAGCTGTAAAAGCTACAATCCCATTCTTACTCGTTTAGTTTTCACAGTGATTTGATAAATACTTACCATTAGAATAACAGAACAGTTACTGTTTTGTTTGTTGTTAAAGCTTTCACTGGTGACACTAGAAACATCAACGCCGCTTTGGATCAGGGCCAGGTATGATTTGAATTGATTTGATTTTGATTTTGATTTGATTTGATTTGATATGATTTGATTTGATTTGATTTGATCTGATCTGTTTTGATTTGTTTAATGTGTTTATTGAATACCCCTATACAGGCACGTAGCCAGAGTTCGATGTTTGGGAGGGCACATACATGTAATCGATCGAGGTCATAAAAGGGGTCTAAAAAAGTTCAACCGATCTTGGAAATTTTAGGGGGCACGTGCCCCCCCCCCCCCCCCCCCCCCCCCCCGTGGCTACGTGCCTGCCCCTATACCTGATTTACCATGTCTAATGTTTGTACCACCAAGTAGACCGACATTATTAATTGGTTTGAGTCACCCGTGTTTCTATATTGGACTATAGCAAATCTGTAAACACGTATCGAAGAAAAAGATGAACAATTCTAAACGTTGAAACTTGACAGATAGTTATACCGACATTCGTTTAGAATTATATAGGAAAATATTTATAACATTTGGAGAAAATTGACAAAAAGGGCAAATTTAAAAAACAATTATGAAAACAAATTGGAGGGAAGAAAGGGAGGAAAATGAAACACAATATAGCAATATACATAGAGATGTCGTGGTCGAGTGCATATGTCACAGGACTGTGGATCACAAGGTCCGCGGTTCGAGTCCCGCCGCGGCACCAATGTCCTTTGGCAAGACATTGAAGATAAACTCCAGTTCTGGTAAAAAAAAAAAAAAAAAGGGGAAATTAATTCTCACAGAATCGAACGAAACTTACACTGAATGTTCAAGATTACAAATAAATGACATGCGCCAAACAATTTTGAAAGAAAATGTATACTGGCTGAGTAATGAGCAAAGAAAGACAAGAAAATCAAGGTAGTACTAGCCACGACACCATGTGTGTTGTCCCATATAAAGCTTTCTGCACTGGCGTACTGGTGGGGGGGGGGGGGGGGCGAAAATGAATTCAGAAAAGATTAAGAGTAATAGTTTAATGAAACGTCAGAGTTTCTGCGCTTCGCGCGAGATGGGCGAAAATGATTTCAGACAAGGATTAAGAGTCGGAACCGGTACAATGAATCTTCTTCTTTCTCTAATAATTTAATGAAGTGTCGAAGCTTTCGCGCTTCGCGTGGGAGGGAAAAACTGAATTTAGACAACACGATACGAATCGTCTTCTTTCTCAAATAATTTAATGAAACGTGAATGCTTCCGCACTTCGCGCGGGATGGGCGAAAATGAATTCATACAAGGATTGAGAATAATTTATTGAAACGTCAAAGCTTCCGCGCTTCGCGCGAAATGGGCGAAAATGAATTCAGACAAGGATGAAGAGTAATAATTTGATAAATCGTGAAAGCTTCCGCGCTTCGCGCGGGATGGGCAAAAATGAATTCAGACAAGGATTAAGAGTAATAATTTATTGAAACGTCAAAACTGCCGCGCTTCGCGCATGAGGGGGGGGGGGAACTGGATCCAAACAAGAATTAAGAGCCGAGAACAGTACAACAGATCGTTTTCTTCGCGCGGGAGGGGGGAGACTGTAAAATAACTTAGTTCCTGGCCCCGGGTTTATAGGGTTAAATTTGTAGACATTTAGACATTGGCATTAATATATTTGTCGGTAATTGGTTGCTCGTTTTGTCGGTAATCGGTGGCCTCTACACCCTCCCCACTCCCCCACTGACACAGATTTAGCGACGCCCCTGATAACGACACAGTTTATACACTCGAGAAAACTTTTGCAAGTACTACTAATGAAGTACCGGACCACCGTCTTTGTGCATTGTGCAGCATCAAAGCATATTACAACGTCTCAAGACGTGACAGATCACTTTTCTCTAACTTCTAACCAATCGGAAGGCCTCGTTTTTTTCCAGGTGTTGCCGGTGGACATTAATGTGCCAAACGTGGTTCTCAAATTGCAAAAGATCCCTACTCTTGGAAGGGGTAGGAGAAAGAAATTTTACGTCATATTACTGCAGGAAGTGCCTGAAAATGCGTCTTATTCGGCTCTAAAATTGCAAATGCTTCTGAGTCTAAGAGGGGGCCAGAACTCCCTCCCAGACCCACCCCCGCTTGGTCGCTTATTTATTATTATCATATTATTTATTATGATTTTGATAACTCCAGAACCTTGCAGTGCACACCAATACTTACATGCTACATGATCAACTGTTTCTGATCCTTTCCACACCTTTTCTTTCACAATGCAATCGCATTACCAGTACTAAAGTTTATCTTTAATCTAGATTTGCTACACTGGACCCAGGTAAGGTAAATGGGTACCTGGTAGGATTATTCCTTGAAAATTATGCACTGTGCGCTGATTACGGGTGCCGGAGCTAAAGCTAGGGTAATAACGTCCAAAGGTCTTTGGAAGCGGATGTTATTTCATAACGTATTTTGCGCTATAAAACCGAATACTATTATTATACATAAGTGGACGTAGATTGGTAGAAAGATGAAAGGATGTGGGGATTATATGAGGAGAGGACGAGGAGTCAGAAGACGAAGACGAATCACTTTTGGGTAGTTCGCGCGATTTTATTTCGTTCGATATGTATGACCATGTTTATACAAACGAGAATGGAATTGGATGTTGCGTAATAGTTTCTCCCTAACGAAGGCAATGACATTTAACTTCCTGGCTAGAATGTGTGATATATACCATAAACTGTGATAAAAACGTGTGAAGTATTGTCTTAATGATTAGGACAACTGATTAATAAATAGTCGTGATCTTATGTCCATAATGGACGGCTACAGGAATTAAAAGGGGAGGCACAAGTCCGCAAAATATAGCAAGAATATTTTTTAAAAAGTCATGAAGTTTTTTAACCCGTTTCTGGTGCTGTTTTACTTTAAAGAAAAAGAAAAACTGAGAGAATTTTAAGAAACTTCAATCATTATTAATCATTAGACACAGAAAAGAAAGAAATCTAGGTGAAAACAGCCAGTGGCAGATCCAGCCGGCGGGAAAAGGGGGGGGGGGGCCAATCCGTGAGAAAATATTAGTTGCGACTCAACCAACGGTGAATAAGCGGGGGGGGGGGGGGGAGGGGGTAGGAGGCACTTTTTTGTCCAATTTTTCAGGAAATATTTTACCCCGACTCAGCCAGCCGGTAAATAAGCGGGGGAGAGGGGGTGGGTAAGACCACTTTTTTGTTTTTTTGGCCTTCTTCGTGAGAATTTAAAAAAAAAAAATGTATACAAAATTTAAAAAAAAAACTCGTCAGCCCCCACCCCGTCGATCCGCGCCTGCAGAGGATCCAGCCGGCGACAAGGGGGGGGGGGGGGGAGCCAAATCTTAATACAAAATTTAGCCTCGACTCAGCCGGCCGGCGAATGAGCCGGGGGGGAGCACCTTTCTTCTTTCCTTTTTTGATAGAGTTTTTGAGGAAAAATCTAGCGCCGACTCAGCCGGTCGGTGAATCAATTATTATTATTATTATTATTATAATTACCTTCTTAGTCTCAATTGTATACTTTTACTGCATTGCATGTACCATATGGTATAATATTATTATATATATATATATATATATATATATATATATATATATATATATATATATATATATATATATATATATATATTTCTCGTTTGTTAAAATTTTAATTGGAATGATTTTGGTAAAACGAAAAGTTTAGTAAATTTTATTTGCTGTTATTGTGGAAATGAAATGAAATGAAAGGAGCTCATTGCCATTCGTCTGAAGAAGGCCGCAGCTCCCGTTTGTAAGCGGATACATCATAAAGGAACTCTCTTGTATTCAAATGAAATTGAAAAGAAATCATAAAACTCTGAGTGAAACCTCTCATGATATATAAAAACGATTCGATGTTAAAAGAAATTCAATGATAAAGAGGGGGAGTATGGAAAGAGATATGAAAAGCCTCCATGGCGATGAATCATGAGGAAAGATGGGACTACTCACTTCCTTTCCTTGATTCCTACTTTCCTTCTTAACTTCCTGGCTTGCTTGCTTCATTACGTACTTACTTTCTTATTCATTCATTTTTTATTTGATTTTGTTCAGGATCCGAAGGAAAAAGATAGGACAGGCACAACTGCGTTGCACAAGGCAGCCGCGAATGGACATGTTGAGATTGTACAGCTTCTTGCCGAGAGAGGGGGTGATATCAATCAACCTGACATCACAGGATCAACATCGCTCCACGCAGCGGCGAGGAATGGGCATATGAGTGAGTTTTGGGGGTCAAAATAATCGACCAATATTTGTAAAAGTACAAAATGAATGCAGGAACTCCATACCCTTAATAGATATGTTTCTTCTGTTTTATTGAGTCCCAATGAACTCTTTGACTACAAAAGACAATTCACACACAAAACTAATTGAAATTCACTAAAACTTCACAAAATTACAGTTTTGTTTAACAAATATTGCGCTTTTTTTCTTCTTCTATCAGGCGTCTTTTTATCCCATAATGTGGCAATTTTTATCAATCCATTAACTTTTTCTGTTTGATTGCAGAAGCAGTAAAATGGCTGGTGAACAACGGTTCTGACATACGGGCCAAGAGCCAGAAGGGAAACACAGCCGAGGATGTCGCAAAGACCCACAGTCAATTTGAAGTCTCTGCTTTCTTACGAGAATGTGGTATGTCTAGCCCTCTTGGACCGTCTTATTTTATTATGCATTTTAATTAATGTATATCTTCCGTCAGACCTCGGCCCAAACATCAAATCAATGCCTCCTGGTCAACGTTTTATATTAGGCCCAAATAATGAAGTTGCTGGGCAATTATATCATTTTGACTTAACTCCACCGACTTTCACTTTAATTTACAGCACGGTCCACTGATCGGGATTCTATGATCATCGCGATGTTTTGACCATAATATAGGCCTATTTTGTATTATTGTTGTTCTTCTTTCTTGATAGACACGGATTTGAATGGTACATCTTGAAGAAAAAAAGAACGACAGGGCACTATATTTTGTTGTTGTTGTAAATAACCATTTCAGGTCTTCTTTATTTTTTCATAATAATATAAATATATTCAAATTTTTAGCATTTGCCTCCATTTCTGGAGGGATATTTTTTTCTATCTGTTAACGATAATTCAATAGATAAATACAAATATAAAGGAGTCTCTCTTTTGTTCTTTTCTTTTTAGATTCTTTTCCAACAAAGCTTTTGTAAATAGTAAAAAGTGCATAATTCAAAATCATATCAACATCTTTTTCCTTCTTTGAATTAAAATCAATATCAAACAATAGGACATTTTATTGATATAATTGGGACATCGTGTATGGTATGATTTGATCTAAAGACAATGAAAATGTGTTGGTCTTGAAAGCATTTATCAGCTTGTGACGAAAAAAATGATGTTAGTGTAGTGTCTAATCTTTGACTTCTTGAAACATGATAATCATAAACTTCGTACAATCATTCTTTTGCAGGGAGAGAAAAGTTTGATTGGGAGATCGACAGCGGGACTTACGGGGGACGGACATGATGAGGTGGCACCCCATACCGGTCGGGCCGGCAGGTCCGTGCCCTACTCTGCTCTTCAATTCCAGCTGTAACCAAATCCTTATCGAATACTTTATACCTCAGTCACACTAACCAGACCGACACCATACCACAAACATACCGACCGACAAATTACATCACACCAATAGCCAAGAATCAGTTGGTTTGGAGTTGGTGTGAAGTTGGTTTACCGGTGTGACTGAGTCACTGAGATATCCTGTTCTGTGACTTCTGAACACGTTTGAAACGTGGAAGCCTGGAAGACTATCACAACTTTAATGTTGTTGATAATTATGTTCTTGTTGTATTATTGTATTTACCGACATTTATTTTGATACGACACTTTAGATGCATGATTCCTATTCCATTCACACATTCGGGGTAATGTTAGGTTTTATTTTTTTAAAACTATTGTTGGTTTATTGTCGGTCTTTTTTCGGCCTCGTTAGTGTGAATTTGGTATCACATATTCTTTACATAATCCAAAAGACAAGGGCATTTTCATTTGTGCATCACCAAAGGGGTCATTGGAGCACTTATTAACGGTTAAAAATATATATAGAAAACTGAAGTAATAGTACTTTCGGCAACTTTAGGATCATCTTAATTCTATTTTTTGACATTCCTTCAGAGAAATTCAATCACGTTTTGTTTTAATAATGCAGAAGACATCTTGGAATCGGCAGTAATTTCGCTCTCATGATTTTCACCTTTCTCGATCAAAATATTGGCTGAATCCCAAATGCTTTGTGCCTTCGCATTCTGTTTAAGTGTGCTAACAATTTCATAATCCATTACGTAACCCATTGATGTAATAATGTATAAAATCATCTTTAAGATACTATTTATAAGATACCATGACACTTATTTGTACATATTTAGAGAATACTTCACTTATATTTCATAACACTTATTTGTACATATTTAGAGAATATTTCAGAGTAAGTCATTCTTGTTATATATTTTTTGTTAGGGTAAATAATAACCTGTTGAAACAATTCTGTCTATTATTAGACTAAAAAGGTGTACCCAACTTTGGTAGCTTCAAATAAAAAAAAGTTATAACCTATGTGACCTTGAATGGTTAAGGGTAACTGATAGGTGCTAATCTAAATGGAAACTGACCAGGGCTCTCATGTCTAAATTCTGAATTCAAATCACGCTAAGCATTTCCGTTCGATCACAAATGAAACATCACAGTGCTAAATTTAGTTGAATGGCCTTTATTAGTTGATTTCCAGCCCTGCACTGACGTACACACTTTGCTTTAGGAATATTTTCATCTTCCCAAATTACAAAAGTTTGAATCAAGCTACAGTATCGAGCCAAAACTTGAAAGTTGAACAATTATAAGTCTCCGCCGGGTCCTATCTCTGTAGAAACTCCATGCTGTCACAAAGTTATTTCGTCCCTTTCTAAACGATAACACAAGACGGCGCTATGGCCCCTTAATTTTCAATAAGACAATTTCATAAGACAAGTCGTTGAAAATTACCTCCAAATTACACTTTAACAACAAACAATATACATGAAAACTTCACCAACTTTCGTAATTCAACAAATGTGCAAAACAAAACTTTCATTATTGCCATATAATACTTTGGAAATTGAAGGTACTTCCCTTGCTAACTCGAGATAAACCTTGTTTTCAGTTTTACTATACTTCTATGTACAATTATATTCTAATCAAGACCAGGTATTTGTTATCTGTTGTCTAAACACCACTGTGTTTTCACATTATCTAGACTCTAATAAGTATTTTTATTTCACGAATGAACATTTGTCCACTTCCACGCTGTTGTCCACTTCATTCCCCCACTGGCCATGCCGCCAACCTCCGCTTCCGCTTGCTGCCCCCAAAAAATGTTGGGTTGGTTATTCTTTGTCGGCCCAGTGATGAGACTTCTCTCCTCCTCTCCCTACAATCTTTGCACAAATTTCTCCTGCTCCGAGAAACACGTTTTCACGCCTCCACTGCCACACAGCATTCTATCACACAATAGAATAAATGCTTTCTTTACTATGAGCCAAATAAAGATAACTTTTATTGAGTGTCTTCATGCTTCACCAATATCTGAATTCCTTCGCCCTTTCTTCTAAAAAGAAGCTTGACTAAAAATAAACATAATTAACCAACACAAAATGCAATATATGCACAACATAGTATGAACACAGCCATCAACATAATTATGTTTCTAAGGGGGGGGGGGGGTGAGCACATTTTTAATTTTTGTTGGTCCTCGAAAATTTGAAAACTTGCACCCACCCCCCTTGAGCGCCAGGGGGGGTCCCAACTCCCCAAAAAGGTAAAATTAACGTGTTTTTACACTTTTTTCTCAGGGGGGCCGCCCCCCGCCCCCTCCCCTGGATCCGCCACTGCCAATACCTGCTTGTTGCAGATTTAACATTTGGTGCAACATTCGCCCTCATCAGTAGTGCATTGCACTCAGGTCTTCATTAATATGATATATACTCCTTTCATTCTCTCCTTTCCTTTGAGATTGAATCTTGCACTGTTCATTTTGTCCCTCTTCCTTCTGGAAATAAATCGTATAACGGTTTGCCTGCTCTTTCCTCCTTCTCTTTTCTTTCCAAGGCGATGGCACGCTGAAATGTCCTCCGAGCAGATTTCTACTCCAGCCTCCTTGGCAACTGCTTTCACATTGTTGATCAGCTGTTCCTCAGTCTCCTCCTCCTGAGATTCCGGCAGACCAGTAAGGCGGAGGTTATCCCTCCTCATCTCTTGCTGCATCTCATCCTGCTTGAATGGAATTCGCAGGAGATGAGGGTTCAGATTCGCTTTTATTGTAGAAAAACTTGCCTCCTTCCAAGCATTGATAATCTGTGGCAATGCAGCTTTATTAGCTGCATCCACGGCCTTGGAAATTATTTGTGAGATTTGATTGTCTCCAGCCATATACTCGCTTAGCTGCTCAGACAGCCCATGATTGAGCTGTGTGTTGATTCTGTGTCCTTCTCAAAATTCTTATTTTTATACACACACACAAGCTTACGTATTCATTACAAACATCAATAACTTTCAGTATTATAATAATGAAATGTATTGTGTTTCTTAGACAGGTTAGTAAGGTTTGGCATAGAACACAATGCCTCTGCTAGGTTCCACCTCGATCTTCTTGATATGTCAATTTTCTTTCAAATCACATGTACATTCACACAATTCACTTTTAACATTAATTATTAAACTTCAAGACGCCAACCAATATTACGTTCTAAATTCAGGAAGCTCAATCATTATTTTTGGCGATTCTTCTGTGTCTTTCTCAAAATTCTTATTGTTATACATGCCATATACAAGCTTACATATTCATTACAAACATCAATAACTTTTGATATTTCAATAATGAAATGCCTTGTGTATCTTATACAGGTTAGTCAGGTTTGGCATGGAACACAATGCTTCTGGTAGGTTCTACTCTTTCTTGGAGTATGACAATGTTCCTGAAAATATGACAGTTTCAGTTTTGTCTTCACTTCAACTCTGCGAACGAAGCCCTCTGCATCTGGTAGATTACGCGTCACTCTCCCCAGCAACCAGTTGTTTCCATCTGGTCCACCAGTAGCAGAAGCCAGCAACTGGAAGGTTGCGTTTTGGCTCCACCCTCTTCTGTCTCTGTTGTATAGCCGTGGCAAATATTCTTTAGTTCCTTCTGCGCCAAAATAATGCCGGACAAATATCGTCTCTGGCGCCATCTTCCGTTCGCATAGACGTCAGTCTCTCTGGTCTCTGCCGTTGGTAGCTGGACACCTTGGTGACAGGCCTCTCTCTCTCTCTCTCTGCCTCATAGAGAAGGGTCTCCCATAGACTCTCAACAAGCCTTTGTCCAGCACTGGATCAAGTCTGTAGACACTATGAACATGATAGACAATGAAAGCGGACAAAATATACAGTTCCTCAGGTATACAAAGGGACATCCCTTCACTGCTATTATGTAAATATGTGTAAAACAGGTGTCACATGCATATTCACCTGTTCTACACATTTTTACATAATAGCAGTGAAGGGATGTTCCTTTGTCTACCTGAGGAACTGTATATTTTGTCCGCTTTCATTGTCTGTCATGTTCATAGTGAGACAGAGCTTGTTAGATCTTTTCACTTCCTTTCCTTGACCTCTTTTATTTGTGTCTGATCCACATTCTCCAGTCTCTTAATCTCATCTGAGAATGATTGCCTTTGGGCCACACCCCCATTTTGTTTTTGTTTTTGTTTTAGCAGCTTCCATTTCTTGTAGAGTGACAAGTCTTCCCTTCAGTGTTTCATCTCATCTCGTGAAACCATGGACCATGGTGAAACTGTCTGTTGCTTGCTCTGACTTCTTAGACACTTCATCTCCTCATCCATCTTACTGCCCTCTTTAGTCCGTTTTTTTTATATTTCTTCAGTATGGCCGTGCATATATAAAAGCAATCACAATTTTACAACGAAACATACATTCTAGATTAACATGGTTTACATACAAAGTTTAATAAAACATACACATACATAAGTATATACATATAGGTTAGAAGGTGAGAAATCCAAACAAGCCCCAATTCAGAAAAAGAAAAGGAACAGAAAAAAAAAGAAAAACAAAATCAGTTGTTTTGTTAACTAAAGTCATACATGATATCACAAATATTATAAACCTTCTTTGGAAGCATATTACGTTAGTTTATATTTAGTTTCTAGCGGCAATGAGACAAGAAATTAGTATAGGGCTGTGCAAAATAATATGGATTGAAACAAGGTTATGTGTAATCCTAGATACATTACGTCATTTTAAACAATGAAGCAATGAAGCACGAGGCAGCATTCAACTTTTAAAGGTATTTAAGACCAAAGAAGCACATTCATATGGCCTGGCCCACATTCGTTCTATAAGCCCATGACTCTTTTCCCGATACTCAGTCCACCGTTACAGAAATATTATGAACTGGGTATCATTGGACACAGAACAAGTTACTCTTCATTGCACAAAAATGGATTTCAAAGTCATATTAATTATGACTTTTTAGTTAGAAGCTACCAAAGTTGGGTACGCTTTTTTTTATACGCACTGTATGAAAAGATGTTATTATTGTTATCTTCATAATATTTTCTTCTTTATATCTTTGATCTATATTTCTTAGAGTATTGTTCAAATCAGGATCTTGAATCTTTTTTCCATGATCCTCGTCAATATTATGTCGCGCTGTCATAGTAGATATACACTGTACTCTAACGGAAAACTTTGTTTAGTAACTTGAACACAATTATCAGGTTAGTATATACTGGCAAGTGGCAACGTGATATTTTAATAGAGAAGGGTGATCTGATGCACTTGATATTCAATTTTGCTTTTCACGCATATTTTAAAGAATATATTTGTTATTATAATTAGACACTGCAAATTTGTAAATTTTTCTCATGAATTGTACAACATTCTATGAACAATAATTATGATGACCAAATATATTACAATAATCGGTATTACTTGCCTTTTCTAGCAGGAGCGTCATTATAGGTGTTTGAGCGGACGTTAAAATATCTGCCCTCAGTACCAGGCGACATGCATTATTTACATCAATGCCCGCCCCCTTCCCCTTCTGAAGAAGGACCGGCGCCCCTTCTTTCCAGTCAATTTTTATATAAAATTTCTTGTTTTTCGTCATGTAAATGTCTGCTGCACGATGTCAATTTCATTAATTTTGCACCGACTATAACCCTTGGGTGTTCATTCCGTACCTAGCCAGTGTATAACACATGGATGTCCCATGATATCAACCATAATTGCCCCCCCCCCCCCCTTTTGTGCCGAAATGAATGCGGTATTTTTTACACACTAATTCATGTATGGGGTGCGTAACAAGAACGTGCCCTGTTAAAAAAAAATAATGTGGTGTAGTCCTACAGAGAAAAATGTTTACAATGAAACATCTCCTTTTTAGCCATTTCATTACAAAGGAATCTCAGAAGTCTAAATAGGCGGGTTTTTGTGTGCTCCTTATTTATAGGGATCTTGTCAAAAAAATAATCCCTATTTCTGGATTATCGCAGTACGCGAACAAAAAAGGTTACCTTTTC